TTCTGACAATCTGACGACCCTCGATCTACTAGTTTGACCTATTTAGTTAACTTAACTCACAGTCATTGCAAGGTATTTTGTAAATTATATTATTTTGTTTAATTGGGTCAGCTAGGTCCTTTAGCCTACAGAGCTTGTCCTACCTGAGTGAGTTAGTAGGTTTGAATGTCACCCTGATTCCTGCTTTATTGGCTATCCCATGTAGAGTCTCAGATGTCCCTCCTTATATGGTGAAACTGTAGATGCCTTATATTCTCTCTTATTTATGTTATTATTATTAGTTTCACCATTATTTTTATTTTGCTTCTGACCTTTTCTGATCTTCCTAATGAATTTTATAGGGAGTTATTTGACACCAACCCTTCTTCTTCTATCTGTTTTATTTCATCATTTAGGTTTTTTGTACTACTTAGTACTACTGCTGGGTTTGTTAGGCACTTAATTAAGCCTACCTTAACAGTTAATGGAGGAGATAAATTGAAATCTAAATATCTATTAGAATGTACGCCCTTGAGCAGCTAGTTACATAGGGCGTACAATCAGGCAAGTTCATTGTCAAATTTCTGAACACCTTCCATCTTGGTTTAGCAAAGGTCCAAATAAAGCTACACGCAGCTCAATACTAGCTCATCTCGTCGATACTGGACATCAAATCGACTCTAACAAAGCTTTTAAAGTTATTTATCGTATTTCACCCAACCTGTCGCATGGTCTACGAGTACGACTTTTACATGCGGCAGAGACAATCGGAATTCATCTGAACAAGCCAAATTTGTATGTTCAAAAGAAATTTGTACAGCACCTTTCTTTGCCATGGCCAACTACATAACATGTAATAAGTTTTTAAAAACGATTTTTCTCCTCCCCCCTGTAACTATCTTTTGACTTCGTTAATTTTTACAATTAATTCTCTCTCTCTTACGAGTCATCCTATCTCCTTAGTCATCATTATTTTACAAACTTTTTGACTATGTAATAACTTGTAGCTAACGCCTAAAAATCAACTTATCTTGAATTCTATATTTCATTTTCACCCCTCTTCTAAGTCAGTTAGTGTTAAAACCTACAGTTTGTTCCGCCCCTAAGAAAGATGTCTTCATCAAATTACCATACAATGGGGAAATAAATAGTAAGATTTTGAGACAGAGATTAAACTCGGTCATCCATAGGACCTATTATGCAACCCGGCTCGTAATCATTTAAAAAGCCAAAAATATGCTCCACCACAAACCTCAGGAATGCACAAGTGATTATGTCAAATCCCACACTATTTACCAATTTACGTGTGTGTGTGTGTGTGTGTGTGGACACTCATACACAGGGAGGAGTAATCGCGCTTTGTATGTGAGGTTGGGAGAGTATATTCTAAAATGGTTAGAAGGACAGATGAACTTTAGAAAATCAGTAGACTGAGGTGGCAGACTACCGACTGCGTCAACAGATGAACATTTAATCTTTATGATTCATAAGACTGATGTTAACACAGCTTTTAAGGTCATCTATAAAAATGGTCAAGGGCACTTATTGAAATACTCTGAGGCTATAGCTATTCATAAACTTAAGCTTCCCCTATGTGTTCAGAAACAATTTATTATTACTCTTAACCTACCTTGGTAATCCTTATCTGACTGGATAACCAAACGTTGTGTTAATTATTCTTATTATTTTTAAATCCTTTTAGTCACTTTGTGTACTTTAATTGTCCTTTACTTTTTCATAGAAATTGACTTGACAAGTAAATGTGTAATCAGACTGTTCGAAATGTATTGAGCAAATACATCGCCTAGTTTTTCAGATAATCACCGCATTCTAATGACACTACCCAATATCACATTAGTGTTGATTTTGTCATTTCGTTGAAGAAGGGAGTGAGAACCAGGTGAAATTCTGTCCTAATCCTTCACTCCTGTTCAGACGTTCTTTATGACTTTTGAAATTTTCTGAATGACTCTAAATCTTGACGATTTATACTACTAACTGGCTGATGTAAGTAGTACGGTACATCTCATGTCAACCAGTAACGCTTGCTATCTGAATCGAAGTGACCTAAACACTGGGTGACCATCTTTTCTCGTTATGGGGTAGAACTCCTTTGCTGCATATCCAGTTTGACTTAGCTCAAAGAACTGAATCAGTTGAGACACCTCGAATTCTGGCTAGTCTAAATCCTAAATGAGTCAAACAGTAATCCAGTTTTGTTTTGATAACTGTGATCTGGCCAGCAAGCATTACTGGTTAATGTAAGCGGGATCCGACTACTCAGAGCAGACAATCAGTAGTATATGGCGCCTTGTGTTTATGCTTGACTACTACTGACTACTATTTATGGTAACAAGCACATTAAATATTGTAATCTGAATAATTTCGGTTTTTAAAGGAAACTGGTAAAATTTCATCGCAAACTGTATGAATCGTTAATCATGAACTAATTCGTAAATTGAGAATAAAATAAGTTATAAAGTTGTATGAATAAAGCAGTTTGATTATGAGTAGTAGATTGTGCTCAAAACGTCATCAAGTTATCAGCTATGTATCGTTATGTCACATATCAGATAAACTTATCTAGAGCTAGTTTTGTAGGGATGTCATTTATTTCAAGTCGGAGGACAGAGTGATGTCAGTTAGAGAACCACTGAAAACCATCAGGGAGTACTGGACAGCTATGCAGTCCTAGTTTACAACGCATCGGTAGTACGCACCCACTGGCAGGGTTCGAATCCAGTACCTTCAAGTCATAAGGTAAGCTCATAGAGTTCCAGTGGTCCATGAATTTTAATGCGACTGGCACCAGTCAGTGTCACCGCTGTCTCAGGATTTCATCATGAGCTGACAATCAAATCCCTACAAACCAATACTTAAATATCAATGAGATACTCACTGGCGACTGGCCCTATTCAGGTTGGTAGTTACCTGGGCTTCTAGTGAGAAGTCGTGACCAGTAGGGTGCAGCAGGTCGGGTGTGAAGACAAATGCTCACCAAAGACATTGGCTAGGGGTCGCGCTATGTCGTGAATTGGCAGAAGTTAGATTTCATGGGCCATTGGATCGAGTCCCAGTGGCTTAATGGTATACGAGCTCGCCTTGTAACCATATGGTCCTGGGTTCGAGCCCCTTGTGGTGGGTTCGTACTGCCGAAGAGCCCCAAACTAGGACGAAACAGCTGTTCAGTACTCCCAGGTTTTCCAGTGGTTCTCTAAGTAATGTCAGCTCATGATGAAATCCTGAAACCAATCAATCAAATCCCTACAAACCAGTACTTAAATATTCGTCTATACTCCCAACCTGTTGGTTCCCAGTGGTCACGAGTTCTCACTAGAACTCCAGGCAGTTTCATCCTGTAGCCTGTCACTAGCGAATCTCAGATTAATCTTCAAGAGTTAGTCTTTTAGTTTTGCCTGCAGTGATCGCTCTAAAATTATGAATTTTCTTGTACTCACTGGTTTCCAGTGGTTGTCTAACTAATATCAAAAACCCAGTGTAAAACGAAATAAACTTATGTAATCTAGAGTTTTTACAAATCACTAACACCTATTATTCTGCAATCACTTCTTGACGTTTTCTGGGAAGTAGTTGCTTAGATCATTCAATCTCGGTAGCTAATTCTTTGTTCTAACTAATTTAACTTTTCTTAAAAGTACTTCAATGACAACGCGGTGTAGCCGGTATTATCTGTAGCATTTTGTGAATGCCACTTTACTTCATCGACACGATAGTATCAAAGTAACCATAATAGCTCTTTTTTTCAAAATTAGTTACTGTAAGAGATGCCAGAGATCAATGTCTTCAATTATTTCATACGATTCAGCAGTTTTGGATCTTTATGGTGTCACTCGGTTTCAAGGTAACCAGATTTTCATTCAACCAACAGCTTTTGGGAATACACTTAAACTGAACTTGATATGGTTGTGTTCTTTGAGTTGGATAACTTAGTTGTGAAGCTTTCAGTGCTCTACTAGACACAATCCTTAGCGCTTACTTCAATTTGAAATATACACTGAGGATATTGTCTAGTGAGACGATGAAAGCTTCGCAACTAAAGTATCCAGCTCAAAGAACACAACTACATCAAAATTATCCACTTGAGCTATAAATCTTCTGCATTACACTCCAACTAGTTGATTCGAGAATTAAATTTGTCTGATTTTTCAATAATCTTAAGTGTAACTCTTCTCTTCCCGAATGATGCCTAATTGACGGTAAGAGTTCGGCACTAAAAAGACGGTAGAAGAAACTGTTCCAAATAGAGTGTAACGGGAGAAGACAAGCGGAACACAGACGAACTGGGAAGTCAATAACTGCGACTTTGACTCTTCACCAAATATGGAGACTGCACAACGAATTGGATTCGTCAGCTTCATCACCGATACTAACGGGTCCACGTCAGGTCCCAGCTTCGCTTCACACAACTGCTGCCTATCCGTCGAACTCCACCACCTATCGTTCAACCACTACGTTCCAGGTATCTGTATCACCTGACTGCCCTACACTGTTGTACCCTGCAATTTGTCCGACCTCTCAGCAGCGTCCCCAGGACAACCGCCTTCGCCGTCAGAGCATTGACGCTCACCAACTCAGCGACAGCACCGAAGTCCTGCAAGAAGTTCTTTATGTCTCCTTCTTTGAAAGCAGTTGGCTATGGGATCTTCGCTGTCTGGAGTCAGCGACACTAAATTTTAACGGGCGAAGATAAGAGACGGTAATGGAATGTTAATTTGCAGTTTGACGTACGCATATAGGGAAATTACATACACCTTATCTTGAAATTGTCGTTTGCACAGATCTTCGGTTTTGTGCTACTTCTGCCCTTCGTATGGTGTTTCTCAGTCTTTTTTTCGTGTCTCCCATATTTTGCCACAATACTGGTTCATCACTTGTTCTCTTTGACATCAAATCTATCTATCTATCTATCTACTATTCGATACCTTTGTGCCAATGAACGTCTCCTTATATACTACTGATAAATCTTGTCAGTAGCACGGTACTTGTAAAGAAAAAACAGGGCTTTTTAAATCATTATTTCCAATTCTATTAAATTTTAAATGTTTCACAAATTCACTGGAAAGCAGTAGATAAATGCAGTACTTATACTACACACATAACACACACACACATACATGCACATAGACAATCAAGTCGAGACGTGCTCATTATTCTTTGAGTGATAACAAACATTTCATCTACCAACATAACAACATTAGTATGAATTTATCTAATCATAATTTTTTGTTTGTTTGTTTATTTATTTATTTTCGTAATGTTAGTCATCAGAATGTTAACTAGCCAATTTATTCTGTTGAAATTGCTTTCACTGGATGATACTCTGAACGTTTTCCCATTCGCATGTTACGAATTCCACGTTTACGATATTCAGCAAATCGATTGTAGGCTGATGGATAACCGTAAGTCTGATATTCTGGGAAGGCATCAAGTTCATCAGCCTCTGAATATCCAAGAGTGCTTGGAAGTTGAACAGCTGTGATATGAAAAGGAAAAAAGCCAAACAAATAAAGGTTAAACTACATTAGGTTATAAATAAAATTTGCGTCTGTTATGAAACCTATATCGTCAGTGAGTTAATCTGATACTTAGATTACTTCAGTCTGGTTAATGAACCTCAGCGTACTAGTTGGTGTCAATGGTCCCTAGTCATTAACACTAATTAGTAGAAAGCATCACGATTGTCCACGAGTGATTGATAACAATGACGACTAAAGAAAAATTGAAAAAAGAGTCTTTCAATGAAATAAAAGATGCCGTCTAAGTCATATGGAACAGTAGAAGTTCGACTTCCGAATGAAAGCCTTTTGTTTTTGTCATGATTCAAACCATTCGTCTACCATTTGTCAATGGAATGTTCAACTGATTGAGCTAAGCGATTCAATTAATGACAAAGTTCTGACATTCTTCCTGATGTGATGATCATACACGAATGACTTCTCCTCTCCAGATTACATCAAGGCTAAGCTGAATCCTTGAAAACTTGAGTGAAATGAGTGTCTAATCAACAGCTTCATCTCAAAGCTCAGTTCTTTGACCTCAGTTATGCATAGGAGACTGAAAACTCACCATTTTGGCCTTTGACTCGTTTTATGACTAATCAGGTTCATAAGTAAACAGTGACTAATCTATCCGTTCAAAAGAATCAAATGGATTGTTCAGCGTGACTTTATATTAAACGTTCATTATTATTTAATTCACCTTTAGATTTTCCCGTTGACTGATTGGACCGAAGTGTTCAATCTCAAGCAGACATGTCGGCTCCTTATATGGATGCTTCGACGATGTATGGGGATTTAACTCTAGGTAATTTGGTGGATGTTGAATAGCAGTGGAATCCACCAGGATGTGCATTTTGTCCTTTTTGGGTCTCTTCATCGGGATGTACCTGCATTTCCCATGGGAATGGGTTCGAGCCTCAGTGGGAACGCCATCACTACTCACTGGGGAGTGCAGGTACATCCGAATGACGAGTCCCAAATAGGGCGAAATGCGCATCCTAGTGGATTCTGCTGCTAGTTACCCTCCACCAATTGAGTTCATTATTATAATTACCAATTTCACAATAGGATTATTGTCGAGACCTGCATGTTCCAAGAATCGCACCCACAAATTTAGCTACTTTTATAAAACTACTTGCAACTAGTATGAGTATTTTCCGAGAAAATGTTATTGACAAAACCCTGTTTAGCGGTGAAATACCTAGTACCTATGTTCTTCAACTTGAGATCAACCTCTGACGTATATATATATATATATATATATATATACATTAACAATAAAATCCAAATACCATTTAATTTTGATAATGAGGGAAGGTAATTAACCTTTATTAGAGCATACCGTTGAGTCTTATATTTTGTGGTGATAGTACACTGTTTTGACCAATAAACTTTACTTTTAAAGTGTTGGTTTGCAGGGATGGATTCAACTGACTTCAATTTACATCACTTACTAACACCAATTAGACAGCTGTTGAAGACCGGAGAGTACTATGTGGCTGTTTCGTTCTAGTTTGGGACTCCTCATCAGTACTCACCCATGGCCCTACCGTTTTATAAGGAGAGTCCGAATCCACTGGTCTATGAATCGTAACTTTTACCCTGAAATCAACAGAGTTCCCACTGTGACATTTTCTGAATTTTAAATTAGATTTATACAAAACACACTTCTGAAGTCTCTGATGGGTTATTGATCCTTTTCGGAATATGCATCGTCCTCAAATAAACAAACGAATACTCTTCAGTCTGTGACGCTACATACTACTGAGTGATTAGGATAAGTAGTTGGGTCCCAGATATATCAACCAGTAGTGCTTGTTAACCAGATTGAAGTGACCTAAACACCAGACAGCTGTTTCACTCGTTTGGAGTCGAGTTCATCAGTGATGTGCTCTCTCGAATTCTCGCTGGCTACTTGAAAGAACTGGTAATATGTTAAATCAAATTCGCAGTTATTAAATTAATTCGTGATTTCATACATTTGGTTCCCTTGATAAATTTCGATAGAGAAAGAAAGACCAGATTTGCAGTATAAAGAGATGCTTCCCTGCAGCCAAGCTGGTGACACTATACAGCACTACATGCTCTATAAGCCAATCGAAACTGGATAAGTACCCTGCTGATTTAACCTCCAACTGCATTTATAAATTTAAGTGCACCTGCGGCAGCAAGCACATTGGAAGGATAGAAAGAAGGGCTTCTATCCGGTTTTCAGAGCATATTCCAAGAAACTTATGCTTAAAAGGAAGCAAATATTTACAAAGTGCAATTACCAGACACCTTGTGGATACGGGTCATTTTGTCGAGATTTCCAAATCCTTCAAAATATTAAATATACAAAAGACAGCGAATCTACTACGATTTGCTGAAGCAATTGCAATCAAACGTCTCAGACCAAACTTATGCACACAGAAAGAGAGTGTAGTCAATCTCTCACTCCCTTGGTAACCGTATTACTTTCATTACACTGATTAGTCATACACACTAGTGAGCTCAGCTCACTAAGCAAGTTTTCAATTTGATGAACTTTAACCTTCTTGAGTTGCCATGTTGACGTACAAGCTAACACTGTTTATTAGATTTTTCTGTTTTCTATCTTCTCTCACCCCCTTTTTTCTTTCATAGTTTGATAGTATATAAATTGATGGTAACTTAAACTAAAAATTGTAATACTTATATTCCGGATGCGTTCATCTTATAATGTTTTCACTATTACCTTTCAAACATTGAAGTATGAAATGTTATTATTTATAACCATTGTAATTTCAGGTAGTTTGCAGTTAGCTGATGAGAACCTGTGAAATAGAATGATATCATTTTATACTGCAAATCTGGTCTTTCTTTCTCTATCGTAATTCGTGATTCGTAAGATATACAGTTCAAGGCGAGGTGTCACCAGTCTAATTAATTTGCAAACCGTCGATTTGAATTAAATTCACAGTATACTATGTCGACGAAAAAAAGATGCGACGGTAAAAGAAGGTAAGACTAACATCGCGAACAAGATAAATTACAATAACTGTGAAACATTGGACTGATCACAGTAAACATTCTCTACATCTCTGCATCCATGAACACAACCAAGAAGCAGTCAAAACACATGATAACCAATACTTTAAATCAACGCATTCAGAAACTAAGGACTCCAATTCTAATGGGAAAATATACAAGTTTTAAACAAAGAAAATATTAATTATGCCAGAAAGTCCCTAGAAGTCTGACATTCTCATGAATCTGCTGTCGACAGACATATCGATTCAACAGATTTATTGACTAATGGAAAAGAAGTCTTGTGGACGAAAGGTACCATAGCAAGTGAAGAACAGGGTAATAATATCTCCAGTGACAACAAATCACCTTCGAGGTCAGCAAGTGAGATGGAGGGTTATTCGACCCATAGAGGAGCACCCTAAAAGCTCACTTTTCATTAAAGTTTGTGGTGATTGTGTTGTCCAGAAAGAGAACAACTGTAAGCTTTGCAATTCAACTGTTGAATAACAAAATCTTCCCCCATCATTTCCAAAAAAATTAAATTCCCCATCTTTTTCCCCATTGTATATTTTATTTTTATTACTCTGTTTGTTTGTTTGTTTTGTCAAATCTAGTTTCTTTTTTTTTAATTATTATGATTAAAAGTGATCAATGCTTGTCATAATTTTGAAATCACAACAACAAAACAAAACGAACAAACAAACATCTCCCGTCAGGTAGGATTTTCTCCCTATCCACCTTTCCCTATGCAATATCATAAATATACAATTTTATTAGCGTTATTTCAATGATTACAACAAATGTCATCATTCGAGTGAATGTGTGTTTGTTTGTCAATGAAAAGTAAACGTGGAAAAAATAAACAAATTGATGAAGTAAAATATAGTAGAGAGAAGGTGAAACATAAACACAACTTTGTTTGTTTGGTTTGATAATTCTGTTGTACAAAATTTGGATTTCAGAAAGAATCACTTCAGTTTGTTGAGCTAAATCACAGGGTTCATACAACTGTGTTTTGCACACTTCAATTAGCGATCGATATATATTCAATTCTCTTCTTGTCGGATTCAATGTTTCATGGTGGCATTTCGGTTGGTCATGATGTTATGATATCAGACGGTATACAAGAGAGCTGATCCAGCTGTTGTCTTACTTTAGGACTCATCAAAATTTTAAAGTGAATGATACGATATTAGAAAAACCAACAGACTGAACGAAGATATATATTCCTTCTCAATTAGTTCCTCATCATCGGCTAGCTCTACACTAATATATAGTTTCTTACATCAAAATTTTTTACCAATCAAGTGGTTATTTTAGTTAATCAATTTTAGGTATAGGCGGGGTTGAACATTAAGAGGTTAAAGGTCATCAAAACAAATAACTAATAAGTGTTAGTAACACGGATACGAGAACATATTCCAGCCACATGGTTTTACAAGGGAGAAAGGAAGTGTGTGCGAAGCTCTATTTTGGAACACCTGATCGACTCATGTCACTCTCTCTGCCAACCCTGACCATGATTTTAAGATCATATATAGAATCCATGCTAACTTTCCGCGTTTTCTTCGTTACAGACTTCTAAAGACAGCTGAGGCCTTGGCAATTCATGACTTTAAGCCAGATCTTTGTGCACAAAAGAAGTATGTACAATCCCTACTTCTGCCTTGGCCGTAGAGGGATAGACATTTATTTATTTTGTTTATTTAGTTATTCTATGTACCTTTCCCTTATTACTACGATTATTATTATTATCATTATTATTATTACTATTCTCACTCTGAATCTTTTCCACTTGACCCACTTGACATTTTAAACCCAAAATTATTAATTTTTATATTTTTATTTTTACAATATTGAATTCTATCTTATCAAATTATACACCATGTTATGTAACATTTTATATTCGTCTACTAATCTTATAATTATGTACCCCTTTCCAAAATCTATACACCTTATGTATTATTCTATTTACGACATTAAT